ATACTGAACAAAATCCTCGGCTCTTCCCTCCAAGGGGTCCTCCCACGCTTCCTGGTGGAGCAGGGAGTGGGTCACCCTAAACAGGGTGGCCGGGTGATTATCTGATGACGCAATAAGAGCAGTAAAATGAGTACATTTTGCTGCTTTTATCGCCACTAGGTAACTCCTAATATGAGATCTTACCAGTGTTCGGTCAGATTCAGAAAGACTAGCCCCCCAACAGCTCTCTAGGCGTCTTTTCCGGCGCTTCATCTCCCTCAGCTCCTCGGTGAACCAAGGAGCCAGGCGAGATCGGCGCCGGGTCAGAGGCCGCAAAGGCACGACTCGATCCAGGGCTCCAGCAGCCGCCCTATCCCAGGCGGCCACTAGGTCCCCAGATGAGGCGTGAGCCAGAACCTCCAGGATTGGCCCAAGCTCCATCTGGAACCTATCAGGTTCCATCAGGTGCCTGGGGCGGTACCATCTTACCGGTTCCACCTCCCTGCAGCGGGGTGCTGCGGTTCGAAGGTCAAGGCGAAGGAGCGAGTGATCTGACCATGACAAGGGCTCGATGACTATATCCCCTATCTCGAGATCACTCAACCACTGTCCAGAGACAAAAACCAAGTCCAGTGTGTTTCCCCCAGTGTGCGTAGGGCCATGAATTAGTTGGGTCAGGTCCATGGCCGTCATGGAAGCCATGAACTCACGAGCCACCTCAGACGCCTCACCCACGGATGGCAGGTTGAAATCCCCCATGACCATAAGTCTGGGGGTATCAACCGCCACCGCGGTTGATTATGATTAATATCTTAAGAGAGCAATTTAATATGTTAATGGCTGGGCAAGTAGCAACCAGCATACAATATGCCAGACATAATACATTTTGTAATGCTAATAAACCTGGGAGATGGTTGGCTTATACGATGAGAAAAAAACAAAAATCAGGTGTTATAGACAAGATAGAATTTAAGAGGTAAGGAGATTTATCAACAGAATTTAATAAAAAAGGCTTTTTTGGAGTTCTATACAAAGTTATATGCTAAAGATGTAATTCAAGATGTTGATATTGATAGATATTTAAAGATGGAGATTCCTGAATTAACGCTGGAACAGAGACAGAGATTGAATCAGCCAATAACTTCCGAGGAAATTGTTGGGGCAATTAAACAATTAAAAATAGGTAAGGCTCCGGGAACAGATGGACTAACAGCTGTTTATTATAAACATTTACAATCTGAAATGTTAGAACCACTCAAAATCTTATTTAATAAAATACAAGTAGGAGGAGGAGTACCACCTTCCTGGAAAACAGCCTTTGTCTCACTAATTCCAAAGGAGGATCAAAATTCTATCAAACCTGAGAATTTTAGGCCAATTTCACTTTTGAATACTGATTATAAGATTTTTGCCAAGATACTAGCTAATAGATTAATGCCAGTTATGCAACAAATAATTCATAATGACCAATCAGGGTTTATAAAAGGGAGACAAATGAGATATAATGTTAGACAAATTGTAAACTTACTGGAATATTTGGAAAAAAATAATCAAGTCCCTGCAGCGTTTATATTTTTGGATGCAGAGAAGGCATTTGATCGTTTGAACTGGCAATTTTTGTTTAAAATAATAGAGAAAATGCATTTTGGGGAATATTTTACACAATCAATTAGAGCGATATACCAGCAGCAAACAGCACAAATTATAGTCAATGGAGGTTTAACAGAGGTTTTTAGAATTGAGAAAGGAACAAGGCAGGGGTGTCCTCTGTCCCCATTATTGTTTATTTTGACTTTGGAAGTACTATTGAATAAGATACGTGACTCAGAAAAATTGAAGGGTATTGTAATTAGACATCAAGATTATAGATTAAGAGCATTTGCAGATGACTTGGTTGTTACCTTATCCCAACCAATCCCAACCTATAGAGTCGGCTCCATATATATTGGATATAATTGATCAATACGGGAAAGTATCAGGATTTAAAGTTAATTCACATAAGACAAAGATGATAGTTAAAAATATGCCTATACTTGAAAGAGATAAACTAGCAAGATTAACAGATTTTGAAATAGTTAAAAAGGTTAAATATCTAGGAGTATACATAGCAGCTTCAAATACAAAATTATACAAAAATAACTATGAAGTTCTTTGGCAGAAGGTACAGAAGGATATGGAGAATTGGAAAAAATTACAGTTGTCTTTATTGGGAAGAATTGCAGCAATTAAAATGAATGTATTACCTAGATTTTTATTTTTGTTCCAAATGATACCTGTGCTTACCTGTATTGGGTATAACTACGGACAATACAGTTGCAGAGACTAAACTGATTTTGAACTTGATAACAGCAGCAAGATTGTTGGTAGCACAACATTGGAAGAAGGACTTTTTGCCTACTATTGATGACTGGATATTGAAAGTAACTAATTTAGCTGAAATGGCTAAAATTTCAGCATATTTGAAGGATCACACACAAGAAAGGTATATACAAGACTGGAGAAGATGGATTGATTATATACAAAATAAGTATCAGACCAAAAAATATCAAATAGCTTATGAATGATTTCTTTTATCTGTATAAGCGCTATATAAGTGATATTAGAAGTTTTATGTCTAAGAAGTAGGATTTTATACATGGGGGGTTAAGAATTTTTTTTTAGGGGGTGTTAGTTTAATGATTGGTTAAGCAATTTAGTTTATTGTTAAAAGTCAATAGAAATACCTTGTGTTCTGCTCTGGGAAGTCGGGGAGGGGGAGGGGGGGTTGGGTGGGAGGGTTGTGGGGAAATTGTGTTTGTTTTAAAACTTTTTCAATAAAATAATAATAATAATAATAATAATAATAACAATAATAATAATAATAACAACAAAACAACAACAACAACTACTACTACTACTACTACTACTACTACTACTACTACTACTATATAAAAAATACAATTTACCTATATCCAAAAAGTCATGGGAACATAAAGTGGAAAAAGTTATAGAAAATGAGAAGGTGAAGATCTTGTGGGACTTTTGAATATAGACAGATCGTCACTTGGAACACAACACACCAGATATCACAGTTGTCAAAACTGAAACGTAAATTTATTGATATTGCAGTACCAGGAGATGCCAGAGTTGGGGGAAAAAAAAGAACTGGAAAAGATCATGAAATATCGTGACCTGGCCATCAAAACTACATGGCTATGGATGAAACATATAACAGTGATACCCATTGTCATTGGGGCACTTGGTACCATGTTCAAGAATTTTGCAAAGTACATAAAGAAGTTGCAGCTTCCTGCTGTAGTGCCAGCAGAACTGCAAAAGACTGTGCTACTTGGAACAACATACATCTTAAGAAGATACTTGGTTGATACCTAGGATGCTGGCAGCAACCCGTATCAATCATCAGAGCCAGTCAATGATATCTGTGGTACATTTTTAAAAGTTCAGTTGGCTGAGTTTCATGTTTAATGAATAAAAGTTTATAACAACAACAACAACTCAGGATGTAGTAGCAGGATGTATGATTGAGTACTGTAGAATTATTCTGGGATGGTAGACCAGACATCAGATTCTATCCTTAATGAAAGACCAAAAGGCTTTTGCATAAACTAATGCATCTCCAAGCAAAAGTTATGCAGAGGGGGAAAAATGGGAGAAATAAATAGGTTATGAGCTGAGAATGTTATTCATGACTGTCTTCCAAACATGTACATTCTTAGAGAAATGATTCAGTTGGATAGAGACAAAACTCATTCCCTTTTTCTTTTTGGACTAAGACAGGGGTTGGCAACTTTAAACACTCAAAGAACCACAACCGGAAGCCCCCGTTCAATTCTGGAGCCGACCGGAAGTCCAGTTCCCACATCGTAGTTTCCTCCTAGCGCGGCATTCTTTTTCCTCTGCTGACCAGAAGTCTGGTTCCCCCACCATGGAGTCTCCTCCTAGCACGGCATCCTTTTTCCTCTACCTGTCCTAACCGAAAGCCCTATCAATTGTGGAGCCAACCAGCAACAGGGAGCCGCAGCAGAGGGATTAAAGAGCCACATGCGGCTCTAGAGTCACAGGTTGCTGACCCCTGGACTACAAGATGCTAGAGAACAGTTTACCATATTAGTAATCTGATAATCATATGCTATGTGTGTCAAAATCATGCTGGTAATAGTTCTTATTACTCAATACTTATTTTGGCATGCTAGAATGACAAACATACAACAGATGATTCAGTTGGAAAGAGAAAAGGCTCATTCCCATTCTCTTTTGGGTAGGAGGGTGGCCAATGAACAGTTTACCATATTAGTGATATGAAAAGTGTTTGCTATGCGTTGTAGAATGATGCTGATAATATTCACTATCATTTAGGATCTGCTTCTAGACTCAAGAATGACTCTGGGTGGTTTACAAATAAAAGCCATGCAGTCATGTAAAGGGGTCATAGATAATAAAATTAAAAACAGGAGTAAATCAAATTAAAACTTGTTATGTTTGCAGCCACTTGTCACATTTACAAATGAGACATACAAACTGTACAAATTTCAAAGAGAAAAAGGGTATAAAAAAGACATACTGGCACAGTAAAATTTGCTTGCTTGCTTGTAAGGAATGCTTGAGCTGAGTCATATTCACTCCTTGCCTTCCTTCAAGAAAGAATCCTGCTTTCCGGCAGCTGGCCTTCCGAGATTCCTTTCAGTGTCTGCACGGGTATTTTCCCAGCCGGGAACGAACCAGGAATTTTCTTCCAATGATCCTAACTGAATTGCGTGGGAATCTTCAGACCCTGCTTCCGTTGTCCTGCAATCCCTTCCTTTCAATAAAAGGTTCCTTTTGAAATGCTAATTGTTTCAAGAGTTCTACTTTCTTGAAACGGAGAGGAGAGGCAGGCCTTATAAATTCTAAAGAACAAAGAATTGCATATGGGGAAACATCTTAGAATTGAGGATTTAGGAAAGATTGTAGGTGGGTGTGTTAGCTGTAAAGAACCTGTTTTATTTGATTGTGACTTTTCTCAAATTTGATTCACTTGGCAGCATGTAAAACGATATGGAAAGATATACTCCATGTGGGCTGGACCTCACCTTTTAATCGTGATGTCTGGATTCAAAGCTGTGAAAGAAGGAATGACCAACTTCCCAGAAGAATTCTCTAATCGACCAGAGGATCCTTTCTTGACTGCTTTCGGGAAAGGATTGGGTAAGTGAAGGGATGAAATCCAGCAGGTTCTGACAGGTTCTGGAGAACCGGTAGTGGAAATTTTGAGTAGTTCGGAGAACCAGCAAATACTACCTTTGGCTTGCCCCAGATAAATCTTATTTATTTATTTATTTATTTATTTGTTTGTTTGTTTGTTTGTTTGTTTGTTTGTTTGTTTGTTTCCATTTCTATACCACCCTTCTCCAATAGGACTCAGGGCGGTGAACAGCCAGAGTAAAAAACAGAACATACAAAATTTAAAAGCAGTTTAAAATGATTAAATATTTTTGGCCGTAATTTAAAAACAACCCAATTTAAAATCATTTTAAAATTTAACTCAAGGCAGCCCAGCTAGTTGAAATAAATAAGTTTTCAGGGCCCAACGAAAAATCCGGAGGTCTGTTATTGTACGTATCTCTGGGGGGAGGTTGTTCCAGAGGGTGGGCGCCACCACAGAGAAGGCTCTCCCCCTGGGGGTCGCCAGCCGACATTGTCTGGCAGACGGCACCCTGAGGAGGCCCACTCTGTGCGAGCGTACTGGCCAGTGGGAGGCTATTGATGGCAGAAGGCGGTCTCGTAAATACCCCGGCCCTAAACCATGGAGCGCTTTAAAGGTGGTCACCAACACCTTGAAGCGCACCCAGAAGACCACCGGGAGCCAGTGAAGCTCGCGCAGGAGAGGTGTCACATGGGAGCGCCCCGTCGCCCCCATAATCCCCCGCACGGCTGCTTTCTGGACCAGCTGGAGCCTCCAGATGCACCCCAGGGGGAGCCCCATGTAGAGAGCGTTGCAGTAGTCCAGGCGGGAAGTGACGAGGGTCTGAATGACTGTGCGTAGGGAGTCCCGATCTAGAAAGGGGCGTAACTGGCGTATCAGGCGAACCTGATAAAAAGCCCCCCTGGCCACAGCCATCAAATGATCTTCTAAAGACAGCCGTGTGTCCAGGAGGACGCCCAAGTTACGAGCCCTCTCTGTGGGGGTCAGTGATTCGCCCCCAACAGCCAGCGATGGCGTCAGTTGGCTATATCGGGATGCCGGAAGCCACAGCCACTCGGTCTTGGAGGGGTTGAGTCGGAGCCTGTTCTCCCCATCCAGGCCCGCACGGACTCCAGGCACTGGGACATCACTTCAAGGGCATCGTTGGGGTGCCTGGGGTGGAGATGTACAGCTGGGTGTCATCAGCGTACTGATGGAACTCCACCCCAAAGCCACGGATGATCTCACCCAGCGGCTTTACATAAATGTTGAACAGAAGGGGCGAGAGGACCGACCCTTGTGGCACCCCACAAGCAAGGTGCCTCGGGGTCGACTGCTGCCCCCCTGTCAACACAGATTGTGACTGGTCAGAGAGGTAGGAGGAGAATGGTGCCCCCCACCCCCAGCCCCTCCAACCGGTGCAACATGATACCATGGTCGATGGTATCAAAAGCCGCTGAGAGGTCTAACAGGACCAGGATAGAGGAGCAACCCCTATCCCGAGCCCTCCAGAGATCATCCACCAACGCGACCAATGCCGTTTCCGTGCTGTGCCCAGGCTGGAAGCCAGACTGGAGCGGGTCTAGATAGACAGCTTCATCCAGGTACTGGGGAAGCTGCTGCGCTACCACACTCTCAACAACCTTCGCAACAAAGCGAAGGTTGGAGACTGGACGATAGTTAGCCAAAAAAGCCGGATCCAGAGAGGGCTTCTTGAGGAGGGGCCTCACAACCGCTTCTTTCAAAGTGGCCGGCAGGACCCCCTCACTCAAAGAAGCGTTAACGATCTTCTGGAGCCAGCCTCATGTCACCTCCCGGGAAGCCAGTACCAACCAGGAGGGACACGGGTCCAATAAACATGTGGTCGCGTTCAGCCGTCCCAGCACCCTGTCCATGTCCTTGGGAGCCACAGGATCGAACTCCTCCCAGATAACGCTCTCAAGACCTGCCTCAGTCATCCCGTCCGGACATACCCAGTCAGAGGCCATCTGAGCAATTTTGTCATACAGATACTGCACAAAATCCTCAGCTCGGCCCTGCAAGGGGTCATCCCGCACTTCCAGATGGAGGAGGGAGCGAGTCACCCTAAACCGGGCGGCCGGGCGATTATTTGATGATGCGATAAGAGCGGCAAAATAGCTAGATTTCGCCGCTTTTATCGCCACTAGGTAGGTCTTAATATGAGACCTCACCAGTGTTCAGTCGGATTCGGAGTGGCTGGTCCTCCAACTAACAAATCTTAGACATAGAAGATTACTATTGTTGACTTCCGTTTGGCTCCATGAGCTTCGCTGACACTCCTTTGTGGGCGCCCGATCCTCGGCACCGTAAAAGCCCCAGAACAGCCGAAAAACAGCTGTCTGGGGCTTGGAAACCCTCTCCCCGTGCAAAGGGAAGAGAGAAGAGTGGACAGGAGGAGGTAGAGCCCCCCAAGCGCCCTAGGAGAAATCTTGGGGCGCGAAGGGTGAGGGCTCCCTAGAAGCCTGTCAATCTGCTCCGGACCTTGGGAAGACTCCACTAAAGCAGAGCTAGAAGCCGCGACCATTCCAGCAACACAATTTTAAATTTGGGCTTGGAGTGCTGGCAGAGCAAAGCAGGAGAAAAAAGAAAAAAAATGCAAGTAATACTTTAACTCCATTTAAAAATGCAGAAAATGGCGCCTAAGGGCGTAAGTAAAAGCTATTAATGAAAGTGCTTGTTAACGCCTGTTAACGCTTGTAACATTGATACAGCTATTGGATTACACCCTAAGAAAAAGATTTAAAGTGGAAGCTACAGGGAAAAGTACTTGGTATTGACCTCAATTAATTTATATCTTCATACTGTTGCAGGAAAAATGACGGACTAGGACAAGCTCTTCAGTGCAGGAAAGAGTTTATTTGCGCAAGGTTCAAACAGTCCGAAAGGTCTGAACAGTGATGGCTGATTTCAACCAGATATTTATACAGTATAAAGACAAAGTTATTACGAAGAGTGCAACATTTCACACGTAGAAGTTACCCTTTAATCTATCTCTAGGAAAGACATAACAGCCTGATTCCCACAGGCTCAGGTTCTCAGCTCCGGAGCTCAAGACATAATAAAAGAGGAGATAAGGGGCTCAAAGGCGCCTCAAGAGCAGCAAAGAGGACAGTAAGGGAAGCAGTTTTTCTTCTCTAGGATATACATGACATTTGGGGTGTAATAAACAGTAAACAACAGGATGTATCTGTTTAGGGTCAGTTTGCCCTTTTACAATGCTGTACCTACGTCAAATACCTTTTGTCAATTCAGCACATTGGCACGGAAGAGGCACTTCTGCCTTGACCAAAGATTTGGATTTCTAATATTTGAGTTTTATCCCAATATCGAATCCTAGCCTGGCTCATACCCCCCTTTTGTGACTCATCTGAGATAACCAGACTGTTGCAATATTTTTAGGATCAGACTCAATAATAATATTTAGAGTTAGAGATTCAAATATATTTCTCTTTAATTATAGTAGGCATTCTATATTCACTGAATATTCACAGATAGAAGCCAGGAAAATGGTGAAGGTGGCTCCTTATATATACAAAGGGTGGAGCCAAGAGTAGGAGTGGTGAATTATGAATACATTAAGAAACAAAGAAGAAGTTAACCCCTGATATCCCATATATACATTATTTACACATTAGGGAATAAGGCATTTACATCTGACAAATCCCCCTCTAAATGCCGGTTCGCTATACAACACCAATTACATTCAGATTCAGGACAATATAATACATACAATTTGGAAGTTAAGTATTTGTGCTGTTTAGAAGGTAAAGGCTTCGTCAATATGTCAGCCAATTGTTCAGAGGTATCGCAATGTACTGCTTTGATAAATCCATCTTGGGACAATTGTCTCACATGCTTAAATTTTATATCTATATGCCTGGATCTTTGTCCAATGGCATCGGATCTAGATATTTCAATGGCCGCTTTATTGTCTTCATGCATAACAAAAGGCAAAGCAGGTTTTTTCCAAACATCTGAAATTAAGTCATTAAACCATACAAGGTTATTTGCAGCTTTGGATAAACAAACATACTCCGCTTCTGTGGTTGAAGTGGCTACCAATTCTTGTTTACCAGTGTACCAGTAAACTGGACAGTCATTTAACAGAAAAATATAACCAGAAGTACTTTTTCTGCATGATGTATCTCCAGCCCAATCCGCATCTGCGTAACATGTAAGTCTTGGTTCTTTGTTATCACTAGGCTCTAATACTAGACAAAAGTCCAATGTACTTTTCAGATATCTTAAAATTCTTTTGACAGCTTCCCAGTGATACATTGTTGGTTTACTAACGTGCCTTGATAATAAATTGAGTGGTAATGCAATATCTGGTCTGGTCCAATTAGATATATAAAGAAGTGAACCTATTACTGATCTATAGAATGTATTATCCTTGAATTCAGGGGAAGATTCATCAGTATTTCTAAGGAAATCAGTTTGCATAGGAGTGTCACAGGGTTTGGCATTGTTTAAATTACATTTGTTTAGAAGTTCAATAATCTTATCTTTCTGAGTAAGTTTGAAACCCTTTCTAGTTTTGTTAATTTGTACACCAAGGTATTTGTTTATTTTACCTAGAGATTTCAACGAGAAATGTTCACTTAACTTGTTTACAAAGATTTCTCTTCTCTCTCTGTGTTTTCCTATATATAAAATATCATCTACGTAAATCAATACAAACTCAACGTGATCATCACTCTTTTTGACAAAGAAACAGTTATCAGCAGTGGTAGCGTTGAAATCCATGGTTTTAAGTACTTTTACCAAGCAATTGTACCATCTTTTGCCAGATTGCTTTAATCCGTATAAGCTCTTGTTCAATAGCCAAATTTCATTTTTATTAGTGTATTGACTGTGAGGTGCTCTTACGTATATCTCCTTATCTAGTTTTGCGTGTAGGTACGCAGTCTGTATGTCATATTGGAATACATCAAGATTGAGTGTGGATGCTACTACTAGAGCTGTTTTAACACTCTCTGTTCTTACTGTGGGGGAGTATGTG